AAAAATAGAAGAAGTATATTTATCGCAGATCAAATAAGGTGGTCGCCATTTATTGGTAAAAAGCTTACGCTGAAATTTCATCCCTGTTCTTCCGCACCCAACGTTTCCCCAGCATTCTTTACCGTTCAAGGACGTACCGTTGCGGATATTTAAGTCGGCCAGTCTATATACGTGCGCTTAGGACGCACCTGAATAATGTTTGAAGACGATGGGGGTTGACGTTTGTCGTGGTGGTGCCTAGCGTGCAAGTAATCTCCCTTCCCTCTTAGTTCTGCCCTCCTCTACAGGATGCTCATACTCCTGCCTGTTCCTGTGTGCCCATCGTTGCCTCATCCCTTTACCTCCTGACTCGGCGGTACTCATAATTGTCCGAGAGGGCATATCGCTGTCGCGAGGGAGGGTACCCGAGGACACGAAACTAGTTATGCGCATTCCTACTCGAGAGGGAAGAGAGAGAACGAGGTGGAGAGAGTGGAGTAGCGAGGGGTAAATCAACGAGGAGGAAAAAGAGAGAGAGAGAAGAAGAAAGAGAGCTACCGGTTGTTCCCCCCTTCCTCTTTGCCTCACGACTGAATACTTGAATATTGATTAAGCATGCACATCGCGATTACCGGGAGCAAGTAAAAGCGCTCTTCTTGCCGGGCCGGCAACCTGCGTGTCTGCGGATATTTATGTGAAGCGGTGCTTCGACGATGTCCCCCTTCATCCACTATCCCCCGTGCCAGTTCCTCGTCCTACTCGCGAGCGCAATCCCGTCTCGGAGGGATAAAAAAGGCCTGCCGGAAGACTCGGGAAGATATCCGCTAACCATGAGACGTTTAAATGATGAGAGCGCGGATGTACGGAGAGCGTGTGCACGGGTTGCTTGATTTACGATCGGCCCTCGCAGGATTATATCCTTCGATCGCGAGCCATCGCGCCGCGAACGCGCGCTGCCCCAGTTCGCCGCCGGTGAGAACGATTAACGGAATAGCGGGAAGCCGTGCCTCAATTTGTTCCTGTTCCTTTTTTACCCCTCGTCCGCCGGGCGAGTTACGAGGACGGAAGTAACAACAGCGAAGTAACAACTCCACACAGATGCGTAGAACGGGTTTTAATGATCCTGAGATTACTCGCAATTAGACCAATTAGGGTTATCATATCTGAATTGCACATAGTTGGAAAATTTCTGTTAAATTGAACACATTTTACGGACCAATTTTTGTATCAATTTTACACAAGAATATGTTAGAAGGTAACACAAATATTATGTGAAAACATTTACACAAACAAAATAATACTGATATAATTTCTAAGCATATTTTTTCAATAAAATTTATATGACATTTGTGATATCTTAAGAGAACATATGTATTCCTTTGGAAGAAGATAATTTAGAGGTGGAAAAAAGGGGTAAAATTTTCGTCTGTATCAAAAACGTACGTATAATTTAATAAAATAAAAAATTTCTAAAATATCATTTTTATCGACAAGTAATTTTGTAAATATAAAATGTGAATTAATGACCAGAAGTTTTACGATCTCAAAAAGAGTACGTGCATCATTAAGAAAGAGTATGGCTATGGTAACTTTACTCGCGATGTCCCTATTATTGTGACGTAGAAACTGGAATTGCGACCAGGATGCGCAATGCTTCTATTTGAATTAACCAAGATCAAGATCCTCGATCAGCAACCAACCTCGACAGAGGCCAAGCTATTTATCGAGAGGCATCGACCAGCTTTACTGCGAGAACAGCGCTTCAAGTCGTGATTGTAAATTGTTCATTTTCAATAGGGGATAATTGAAATCGCGATAATGACAAAAAAATACAAGTTTCAATGTTGAACGCGATATTTTGTCGTCCTCATAAATATATGCCAACTCGTTATACGCATTGTATAAATCACGGAAATAATTAGCCCGGTGTCCCGAATTTTTCGCTATTACGCGAAATATTGTTATGAGAAATCGTGTTTGTATATATTGGAATATTTTGTGTTATATTATTTTTTTACACGTCGTCAAATGTACGTATCTGTTTTTTTGCCTTATGATAAAAAATGTTTTTCTATTTTACAAAAAAAAACAAAAAAAAACAAAAAATACGGAGACAGTATAAAAGCGGTACGTTGTAAGTTATAACGTAAGTTACAACGTAATTAGTCAAGTAACGTGAACCGCGATTACTCGATATTTCTTCGTGCTTTCCGAGAGGAAGGCGCGAGAATATAATTCACAAGCCGATACCACTGAGCTAATTTACCCCGGCCGAACGCGCGTAGCTGTCTAATTAAGCTGGCTTTCGCGCAACAAAGCGCCGTACGTGTAGCCGCAATCGGGTGGGCTTTACAACACCGACCGGTATCCGGCGCTTCCACGTTGTTGACCACGATCGTCCTCCACTCGAAGGTAGAGGAAACTACGGGGAAAAAAGGGCGGGAGAGACGCGCGGGAAGGCGACGCGGGATAGAAGAAAAAGCCCTCGAGCTTTGAATATTCAGTAGGTACGTACCGGTGTGCGCCGGCCGGGGGAGTCTGACCTTATTTTTCTACTGGAAAAACCACAGCTTCCGTCTCTGCTTAGGGATTCGCTTCGCTGTTCGTGGAGGCGATACGTCGCCGGAAATTTGCACCAACGCCCACCGGTTGGACGAGGGGCAGACCGATTTGAATTAATGTCGTGACGTCGGGACGGATACGCGTCGCCGATAAACCGTCGATTTCGATAAGTAAAGTTCTAACGGGGTGGAAAGAGTACCGAAGGATGACAGCCCTATCGATCTCTCGAGTCGGTAGAACAGGTAACTGGTCTGTACGCTCAAAACTCTCCGTCCAGACTGATACACTAACGGTCGTAGGTAAGGTACTACGTTGTTCGAGGATGATATGCACCGTTCGTTATTGGACGGTCGGTAAAACCGAGATTTTGTAAAATTAAAGCGGTTAATTGATTCGCCATTGTATTTTATATTTCATAGCAGTATATAAAAATATTTTGTATTTTAGTATTAATAACGAAAGATTGAAAGATTGATTTTATATTTTGTATTTCAAATATACTAGGATTGACAATTAATCTTATTATTTAAATTACGAAATACATGAAACTTTAAAAAAAAAAAACCATTTTAATTTCAAATACAAAATACCTAATATTTTCATGTGCTCCGTTGAAATACAAAATATAAAATACACTTTTATTGCAAAAACTGTATTTTAAAATTTAAATCAAAGTATTTTAAATACATCGTTTTTCACGAGTAGGTAGAGCAAACTGAACTAAGCCGAAAAGTCCTTGTACTATATAAAATTGTAGTTTTTAAATTATAGATCAAATTCTATTTTTTATGTCAATTTTTAAATGAGACCAAAGAAGAACACATTTTACTTAAACATATAAGAGATTCTGCAATTTATTTTTAATCCTTCGGTGCTTTTACCGTTTTATATCTATTTTTATGCGATACTTTTATATAGGACCATTGTATAAAAATATCTCATAAGAATGAATATATTATTTTTTTCAATTGAAACGCCAGACATTAAGGAATATAATGGCAATAAACAAACGTATATATTTTTATTAATAAAAAAACTCATACATAGCAAAGTATAATAAAAAAAACGAGTATGTCACACTAAAACACCGAAAAATTAAATATCATACAATTACATTACATTACAACAAAAATTATCCACTTACCTGGATAATTGCAGTCATGTTCGTCGCTACCATCTTGGCAATCTTCCACAAAGTTGCATCGTTGAGATTCCAATATACATCTGTTTACGTCGCACGCAAACTCGCCAGCACTGCAGCCTGTAAAACGTAATATAGATATTTTTTTAATACAATTTTACCACAAATGCTTTTAAACTTAAAAAATGCGGTCGTATATTGTATAATATTGAAAATACAGCATTTATTTTTTAACGTAAGAAGCGTTAAAAACATACTAGAATTATATTTTCGTTAGCACATGCATCTATACAAAAGCTTACTGATTCTAATATTCTAATATACAATTTTATAAAAACGAGAATAAAACATTAATTGAAACTTTCTAAGCATGGCTTATATGACATGGTTTTCTTACTTCGAAAGTAATCCAATCAAAAAACATGATTTTCGAGTTATTACCATAACTGAGTCAAATAAACATTACCTTATCATCAATCATAAAAAAATTAACTAATTTAAATTCACAAAAAGTTATCAAAATTGTTAAAACTTAAAAAGAATCGGAACAACTTAAAAAGGGTGGTATTCACATATACTTGTAAAACAAAAATAATAAAAATGACATTTGATCACATTGAAAATATGTTCTTGTGATGCGGTATTATTTAATTATAATCAATAATTTTCTGTCAAGTTGAAAAATAATTTTTCTCCTTTTCTAAAAAACTTAATTTTTTGAGTTATTCAGTTTTGAAGTAAGGAACAAGCATATGCTGTAACGTATATACGTAATGTTGTTGATTGTGTATAAAAGAATATCACATTACAAAAAGAAGCTTATACATACTTATGTACATACATACATTGAGAATACTAAGTATATATTTTTTTACTAGAACAACCGCTTCCGTTATCTTAGAGAGTTATAGCGAATATAATTTTTATCGGAGTATTTGAAAATCCTTTTGTAGTTATAGTAATAATTTTAAGACACTATGCAGTTTTTGGTTTTTAATTAAGTCGTTTTCGCTAGAATGGCGAGAAGCGGTTCTTCTAGATCGCCGACTTTTAGCGTTCGATCCTTGGCGGAGATCAATCGGCTCAATCTGTACCTGGATGCGGACAATCGATCTCGTCACCACTGTCATCGCAATCCGGGACGCCATCGCACTGCTGTACCGAACAGATGTAACGACTGCCGTCTTGACAGCGTACCGTGTCGTCGGCACGACACTTGTTCGAAGACGACCTCAGCGTGGACTCCTCGATTTGCTTATCGTCGATGTCCGGTACCTCTGGATTTACCGTGTGAGTCGTCTCCGTCGGAAAATGTAGCGAGGGATGTTGTGATGTCACGGTGGTGTATTCAAAATCTGTTGTTTCGTTTATAAGCGTAATTTCAATGTCGACGATTGCAATATGCGACTTTTACACGCTTGTTAGCGAAGAATATGAATGAGGTGAAGAGACGACAGAGTGATACTAGATTTTTCAATCAGTGCTTTTCGAATATTCCAAAAAACAAAACGTACCAAGTCAAGAGAAAGTCAAAATGACTTTATTTTGACGTCATGAAAATCATGATGGTTATAACATTTGACTGTTCATTTACGTTAAACATCAAAATAAAATCTATTGATTTTTGTATTAGCTTTTATATAATATGGTCCTCGGATTGAGTCACAAGTAAGTAGACAAAAATCTAGTTTTCAAGAATGTTAAGAAGAAATTATACAGGAAAAGTACAATTTTGATTTAAAAATTTAGGTAGATACAGCTCTAAAAATATAATTTTATTGAATTAAAATAATTATATAGGAAACTTAAGCATGATAAAAAAAGCAATGCGGCAAAAAATTTTGCTGTTCTAGCAATCAGTTTGAGCGTTCTACATAATTAAATATGATACTTTAGTAAAATCGTTTTTTCTATATTAATCATTTTTGTGTAATATTCTTGTTCAAATAAATTTTAATTGTACACTTCATATTTTTCTTCTGTAAACGTAAGTATTTCTCTTTTATTGTAGTCACATAAATTGTACTAAAAAATAAATCTGTAATTAACCGTTTCGTTATTTAGGCGAGATTGAAAACGCTAGGAGAGAGTTAATTTAAAACGAACGATAATGAAGATAGAAGTAAAGATGATAGACAGAAAATCTATAGTAGAGCTCACCACACTGGCGAGCTAAATTCCCATCAAAATTCTGAGATATTCAAAGATATTCTTAAGAGACGTATTATATATGTATAAACACGGCAATTCGTATCAATTGTAAATTAATGCAATTAGGAAATTAATATAATAATAAATGGATCGTACTGATGCTCATGACGAAATTCATGCTTATATTTATGTTACAACGTACCGTATATTTGCATATAGGCCATATTGTAATCTTCGTTAGTAAAAAAAAAGGGTAATAAATAATGCGAGTTTTTGATAAGCGTTATCAACAGCGATCTAGCATTATATACAGTTTTCTACCCTTTACAGGTATCACGTAGGGCGGATTTCCGCGTACTTACCGTCACGTGTCTTATTCAATAAATCTGTTGGGCAGTTGTCCTCATCGGAACTATCGTTGCATTGCGATACGCCATCGCAGCGAGATTCTAGAGGTACGCATTCGCCGCTTCTGCACCTTAATTCTGTCATCTGATCGCATTCCGGCTGAGTGTCCTTCTCTCCGGCTGCGTTCGGATGTCGCGTGTCGTGTTTGTGCGCATTCATTGCGTCGAAAGTAGGCCGAATAAGCGAATCGTGACACCAGTCAGTGTTCATTTGAAAGGAAGAGGAAGAAAAAAGAAAAACAACTAATGAGAACGAAAACTTAATTAAGGAGAAAAAAATTGAAATTAAAATAAATACGTTTATAAATTAAAGTAACAGTAACGAATTTAATAAAAACTTAAGAAATAGAAAATATAGACTATGTATGGTATAATTGGAGATCGTGAAAATGTCGAGTGAAGCTTGTAGTTAAAAGCATTTGAAATGAAAATTGCATTCCTCGTGCAGTTCTGCGCGCACATCAATATTTTAATAATTCTAATAATAATCTAATAATTCTAATAACAGTCTAATCACGCCAAAATCATGCGGTTTTTATCAAAATGATCGATTTCATACTAGATACAGTTCGGCATTCACTTCTCACTTTTATCAATAAGTATATGCATTTAGTGCATAATTTACATCACACATATACCACAGAATCTCAGAAATAAATGCGCGCATTTATCGATGAGTGAGGTGTGAATATGGACTATTGTTTTTTTTTTTGGTTGTTGTGTATTATTTTTTTCCCGATTTTTCCGATCGCAGCCATCAATCCCATTCGTTGAGCAGTCAATCGTTCGATATTCACCGGATCTTCGTACGTCCTATATTCGGACTTTTCGCAAACTAGTGGCATCATGGAAAGCTGAACGAATTACGAAGTTTAGTTTCGAAAGCTCCAATGTGAAATCGATCATTTCCATGTCGTTAGGCGGTAGCCGCCTAAGATGGAAATACCTTGGAATATCCTGAACGTGAATCCCTCCGGACCTACTTGGATACTGCCCAAAGAATGATATTGCAGCTGTTGCTCTAGGATAGCACGCACTTCGAACTCGTCCGTGAATGTCGAACCAATGTCTAGGGTAACTTGCGACGTAAAAGCGTCGGTCGTTGGCCTAAAAAAGAAATTTTATTTATTAGAAACAATGGAGACACGACTTTAAGAATCAAAATTGAAATAGACAATCCTACTTACGATATCTTGACGACGCTGGCGAAATAATTGTATCCTGGAATGTGGCGATTGTACAAATTCTCGACGGCGTGTGTAAGATTGCTGCTCAATTCTCGGTACTCAAGACTGTTTCTGTCAGCATATTCCCGTCTGTAGGGTTCGCCAACTGTCAATGTTATTCGATAGAATCCTAGAAGAGAAATATTTTATTTATTAGTAATAAATAATGAATTTCATAGAAATATATCAGTAAATAATATATTTCTTTTATAAACAGAGGGTATTTTATTTCAAATATCACTTTTATTTATGCCTCTTGATGTATTATCCTTCATCCATTTATTTACTTTATAAAACTAATGCTCTCTGGCATTACTAATATTACATATGAAAACTTAGTAGTAAAATAGAGATAAAAAAGTTTATTGCTATTTCTAATAATATTGACAAGATTTTTGAAACGTGTTTTAAAGAGAAGAATACTCTTGTTATTGAAAAAGTAAAAATACATTCACAAATAATACGACCTAATTTCTTATCACTAAAAACATTCTTATTGTAAAAATATTGAATACTTTATTTTTATTAACATTTAGACAAATAATAACTTTAATAATATTAAATAATTAATATTAACACAGTATATAATAGTTAATATTAACTTATACATATATTCCTTGGATTAAAATATTTTTGATATATGAGCCGCTCATTACTTAAATCGATTAACCCTATTTTTTAAATAGTTAAACAAATTTTATCGTCAAAGTGCTTAATAAGAATTAATCAAATTTTAAAATCGATTTAGCAAATAAACGGCTCATATAGAATAAATAATCTTAATATAAAGCTACCTACATATATTTCTGTTATATCTATGTTATAAAAATATTAAAATATTTTTGGAAATTTTTGCAATTTTGATTTAAAATTTATATATAGCGGACATATTGTAATGATAATTTTTATTATTTTTCTTATTTATTATTATTATATTTATATATTGTTTAAAAAATTATTACATACTATTAGTACGCTATTCTAGAATTGAAGTTAATAAAGTTTTAATAGATTCGTCTCTCAAGAAAAGCAAAGAGATAATAAACTCATCTTATTTAATCCTTCAATTTTTTAAATTAATGGAATCGTGAATACTTATAGAATTAGAAACTTACGTGCTTTGCCATCAGTGTTGCGATGTGTGTTTCCTGAGTTGGGAGGATAATCCACTTCGCCTGCACTGCCTTCGATTTCTCCTGAACCAGCCAAATCCTCATCATCGGTATTTCCATACGTTAATGGTATTCTTTGACTTTCTGCGGGGCTGTTAATTTCATTTTCGTTCTGTAAAAATATAATAAATTTACATGTAGTAGGTAAATATTATAACTGAATAAAATGTTAAAAAATATAAATGTTTAAATTGTTTATTAAACATGTACCTACCAATTCTTCTATAGATCATTTTAATTATTTTATCTTTAAATACCAGTTAAATAAAAAAATGTTCGTGCAATTTAATTAAATGTAACAAGTAAAAATTCAAAAGGTAAATATTTTTAAAGTGACGTTTCATACCTCATCTGCTTCATCATTGTCTTCATTCTTTTCGAGAACCAATCTTTGAATCACACCAATACCCGTTTTGGCATTTGGCACTTCAGGCTGATCAAATGTACGATTTCCTTCATCTCCAACGTTTAAGATGACGGATTTATCAATATCTTCGTGCTGAATCTCATTGTCTTCTTTTTGATCTATCGAGTACAGATAATTGAAAAATTGAATTATGATACAACTTAAAAAGAATATTGTTTTCAAAGTGTTTTCAATTTCTTGATTCTAATAAAAATTTACTATAATATAATGTAACACGATAGAGAAATTTTCTAATTGTACTAATCACAAGAAGGGACTTATACCTGACGGCGGTGGTGTAGTTGTGGTCGTGGTCGTGGATAGCGATGTAATTAAATCCAAAACTCCTCTCTTTATCCTGTGAAAAAAAGAATCGTCCTGATGCGTCTCGATCAATGGTACGTGAATCGCAATCTGTTTGCCCTCTGGATCGAAAATCAAGTCGTCATCCTGAAAAAACAAAACGACATTGTAAATTATGAAATTTTATAAAAATTCAACAATTATTTTTCTATTGATAATATTTATAATATATAAATAATTATAATTATAGTATATAAATATAATCTTTCTAATTAATTTTCATCATCTCTACAGAAAAGTACAAATTTATAACATCAACTTTTTCATGAAACGTAAATCTTGAAGTTTTTGTGGTACACTTGAATTTTTCAAGCTATTTTATAGATATCTTTCGCATTCGTTACAATTTTTTATCACTTATGACTAATGCTTAATTAAAACAAACTAAAGGACTCTTTTTATAAACAAAATAATAAACATAAAAATGGTATTGCAAGAGTCAAATAAATAAGAGAGATTTTCTAAACGAGAGACAAATTAAACCATATATTCTAAATTTTATCTGTTGTAACAGTACTTAAAAACTAACTTAAAATATAACATTAAATGACCGATATTCGTTGCATTACATTACAATACATTACTAGTTTCGACCAACAATTCTATTCCTCTTCAGATGAAACATTAACATTGAAATATAAAATTATGGATAACATTAATACTTAAGTAAACCTTGTAAATAGTTATATGTATAAAGTATAGTTATTTTAAGTTAGTTTTTAAGTACTGTTATAACAGATAAAATTTAGAATATATGATTTAATTTGTCTCTCGTTTAGAAAATCTCTCTTATTTATCTGACTCTTACAATGCCATTTTTATGTTTATTACTAATGCTTAAGTCATTATTGTTATTGCAAATTATAAAATTTTACAAAAAATCGACAATTATTTCCTTATCGGTAATAATTATAATTCTCTAATTAATCTATCGTCTTTACAGAGGATTTTCGCACAATCTTATAAACCTTTTCATAAAATGTAAAACTCAAAGACTCTCTAATTATATGTCAAATGGGTCTCATAAACTTTCCTCCTCATTCGTTACAATTGTTTTGCCATTTATGACAAATGCATAAGTCACTATCTCATCGGGTGGTGCTCGAGTACCTGCCACCCAGATAACCACATGTGGCCGTATACACGCGCGCGCGAGTAGCAGCGACACGTACGTGTGAAAGGCCATTGAGCGTGTATATCACCAAGTATCCTCACGTGTTCCTCATAAAGAACCAATTCTCACCTAAACACACGATATAAATTCAGGATCGTCGGGCCATTCTGCTGGCAGCAGCGCGTCGTGATTCCGTAAGAACCGCGCGACCGGCAAACTGCCCAGGATTCGAGTACGCGGGTCAATGACGTAGCTCGTACGGGATGAAAATGGAGAACCGGCGTACCGTATGGTGGATATAAGCCGCAGGAGCCAACCGGAATAACGTATCGTTATGGGCGAATACCTGACGATCTTGGGGTACATAGAACCCGCCCGGTTATGCAAGTGCGCTACCGTTACAGCATAAGTATGAATAATACACCGTATACCGAGTGGTGAGACCTTACAGGCGTTTCTTATATAGGAATGGAAAGGAGGCGACGATCGATTAACGAATATTTTTATTTATTCACGTCTTGAATAAATTCTCTCATCGTTCTATTTCCATACCCATATTCGCGAGTGACGGTTTGATCAATAAAATTCATGAAAAGACGATTTCGCTACAATTTCTTAATCCTCAAAATTACAATTAATTTTCGACAATGCTTCAATGTATTTTTCAATCTGTTATGCTTGCTGTTTCGTATGAGAAATTGATTTAATTATAATACTCTCTCGAGCATTTAATTATCTTCTTAGCTAAATGAAGAAGCAAATTGAAGTATTATAATTTCTCTTTATTTCACATGGTAAATAAGAGATTGAAATTTGTAGAGGTGCATTAACAATTTCTTTTCAACGAACGCAAGACAAATAAAGACAGGTGTCTCATTTCCGACGCTGCGTGGATGCATGCACGCACAAAGTATGTACACTGTACACTGTACATGTAAACGGAAACGTCGTGTTTTTTTTTTTTTCATGGGTGCGAGGCTCGTGCACTGGTAATGAAGCTTAAATCGCACCAGAGCCGAGACGTATTATTACGGTGGCGCATTTACACGCCTCGCCGGGCGTCATTTAAAGATTCGCGTGCAGCATCCGACGATCGCGCGTGCTTACACACGCAAGCTGTATTTGCTCCCGCATGCACACGTCGTCGAAAAGGGAGTGTGAGCACGCAGTGTATGTGTTACGTAACTTTGAACTCGGTTTTAACGAGGCTAACGACACGACGGTGCGTTTATTAATTCGCGTCCGAGACAACCCAAACGTTCGTTGCTACCGCATCCGCTGCGAAGCGTTCTGATGCCTTCTCTTAAGATTAAAAAAGTCAGAGGAAACATGTAACGCAGCAGATATCGTTATTCCAGTTCTGTACTAATTAACTTTTTATCTCACATTCGCGAATGTATTACTTGAGCGTTAACAGTCACAAACATGAGTTAAGAACGCGACAACGCCCGACGTGCTTGTTGTTTCGAAATTGCGGAAGTCCGGGCTTAGCGGGACGCAGATAAAACACTGCGAGGGACCATTTTAGATCGTGATAACGACCATGATGCGCGGCACATCCTGCCAGAACACAGCCCATACATTGTTCGCAATGAAGTTTTATTACAATTTCGCATCGAAACTATCCTTTAAACGACGACGTTCCGCGCGTCTATAGTTATCGACTGAGAGGACATAGATTTTAAAAATGTTATTAGAAAAGAACAAG